TTATCTTGTGGTTGAGAAATCTGTTTATGGCCTAAGCCTGTTCTAAAAATCTTCCCAGCTTTATCCCTGTCATGTCTGTTGTGTTCCATTTATTGCATAATGCTGTTTTCTTCCTAATATCTTTTTAACCAACCTCTATGGTCGTCAAATCAGCTGTATTTGCACTAAGATTAGATATCTAATCATTAGCATTCGTCAGGCAACTTTTAAAAGCAGTGAGTTTCCAGGGACTGAATACTTTTGTGCATCACAATATACACTCACCGGCCACTTTATTAGGTACCCCATGCTAGTAACGGGTTGGACCCCCTTTTGCCTTCAGAACTGCCTCAATTCTTCGTGGAATAGATTCAACAAGGTGCTGGAAGCATTCCTCAGGGAGTTTGGTCCATAATGACATGATGGCATCACACAGTTGCCGCAGATTTGTCGGCTTCACATCCATGATGTGAATCTCCCGTTCCACCACATCCCAAAGATGCTCTATTGGATTGAGATCTGGTGACTGTGGAGGCCATTTGAATACAGTGAACTCACTGTCATGTTCAAGAAACCAGTCTAAGATGATTCCAGCTTTATGACATGGCGCATTATCCTGCTAAAAGTAGCCATCAGAAGTTGGGTACATTGTGGTCATAAAGGGATGGATATGGTCAGCAACAATACTCAGGTAGGCTGTGGCATTGCAACGATGCTCAATTGGTACCAAGGGGCCCAAAAAGAGCCAAGAAAATATTCCCCACACCATGACACCTCCACCACCAGCCTCAACCGTTGATACAAGGCAGGATGGATCCATGCTTTTATGTTGTAGACGCCAAATTCTGACCCTACCATCCGAATGTCGCAGCAGAAATCGAGACTCATCAGACCAGGCAACGCTTTTCCAATCTTCTATTGTCCAATTTCGATGAGCTTGTGCAAATTGTAGCCTCAGTTTCCTGTTCATAGCTGAAAGGAGTGGCACCCGGTGTGGTCTTCTGCTGCTGTAGCCCATCTGCCTCAAAGTTCGGCATACTGTGCGTTCAGAGATGCTCTTCTGCCCACCTTGGTTGTAACGGGTGGTTATTTGAGTCACTGTTGCCCTTCTATCAGCTCGAACCAGTCTGGCCATTCTCCTCTGACCTCTGGCATCAACAAGGCATTTCCGCCCCCAGAACTGCCGGTCACTGGATGTTTTTTCTTTTTCGGACCATTCTCTGTAAACCCTAGAGATGGTTGTGCGTGAAAATCCCAGTAGATCAGCAGTTTCTGAAATACTCAGACCAGCCCTTCTGGCACCAACAATCATGCCACGTTCAAAGTCACTCAAATCACCTTTCTTCCCCATACTGATGCTTGGTTTGAACTGCAGGAGATTGTCTTGACCATGTCTACATGCCTAAATGCACTGAGTTGCCGCCATGTGATTGGCTGCTTAGAAATTAAGTGTTAACGATCAGTTGGACAGGTGTACCTAATAAAGTGGCCGGTGAGTGTACATAAACATACCAAATGTTCTATATTGTATATATATTTTCTGTTTTATTAACGTATTTACATTTTTTGCTCGTCTTTTAGATAATATCTTACAATATTTGTTTGTGGTTGTAATGTGAAAAAATGTGGACAAGTTAAAGGGATACTCGCATACTTATGTGAGTCACTGTATTCTTACATCAAAATATAATCACTTTTTTTCTCATTGAAATTATACATTAGCCTAATAAAACTGGTATTCTGCGTTTCACTCATCCTTGGGAAGTAGTCAAGTGATTACAGGCCTGGAGAGCTTTACTCAGGGATCAAAAGTGACAGTCTTTGGGCCAACAGACTTCTGGCCTCTCAGTCCTTTCTAGACACTAAGCCAGCACTTATTCCTTAGTTAAATTCAATACTACGTAATGACCTCAGGGTTTCTTAGAGAACAGGCAGCATCATTAAGGTCCAGAACACTCTGCAATATAGAAACTCAACACAGAAACACTATGGCATGACTGCACACAAACCCAAACACAGCCATCCATCCATCTAAATTGACAGGTTGGGTGAAAAGAGCCAAGAGACCCAAGGAAACCTTAGGAGAGCTACAAAGAGCCTCTGGTCGGATAGGGAGAATATGTCTACTAGTTGTGTACTGCACAAATCTGGCATCTGTCAAAAAGCCATAAAAACATCCTGGTTGCAGTTTATTGCAGGTCATGTAGGGGGCACAGAAAACAAGTGAAAAAAGAAGACAGAACCAAAAGTGTTTGAAATACATACAGGAATGCAATGGACCTGATCCTCAAATGGTGTGCATGTATAAAAACATGTGCAATAGACCCTGTGTAATAGGGCAATTTGAATTGTGTGTAGAATGGCTTTGTGAATATAAGAGGTGGATGATGTGCAGACGTAAATTCTTACCACAAACAAAGTGATTTATAAAAGCTAAAACTAACCATGGCTGCAGTTTTTGCACCTAAAGGTGCAAATTTAAATACAAAATGTTATGCGGCTAACCAGGCCACAAATACTGCATATGTGGGAGCGGGAGTCTGTGCACACATAAAAGTAAGTTATGGATTTTAATATTAACATAAGTTAAGTTACTATTAACAGCCAACTGAAAATTAGACACCATCATGGAGCCTGGAATATTGAGAAGGCTGGGTACCCCTAAGCACAGATATGGTGTATGAATTTTATTACTGGCATACCTTGGTTGACAATATTTTTTGGACTGTAAGGGGGTAGCACTAAACTCATCTGCTATTCCAGGTTTTATTTTTGATATTTAACTTTTTTTATATTTTCATCCTATTATTTCAGTTTATTTGTTTGCAGGACTTGCAGATACTTATATGTAAAATATACAATGAATAATATGAATCATTGGGATTATTGTCTCTTCTTAAAACTCTACTATTAGAATCTCCAATTGCATGGCTTTTTGATATGAATGTTCATTTTACAGCTAAGGAAGGAAGGAAGGAAGGAAGGAAGGAAGGAAGGAAGGAAGGAAGGAAGGAAGGAAGGAAGGAAGGAAGGAAGGAAGGAAGGAAGGAAGGAAGGATGTATGGATGGATTAATGAATGAATGAAGCTACATCAGGGAGAATCCAGGAAGAAATTGAAGGACGCAAAAAACTTGAGACTGAGGCAAAGGTTTACCTTCCAGAAGTACAATACACCTAAACATGTAGTCAGAGCTCCAATGGAAGCATATTAAGCAAATTAATAGGTTAAAACTTAAAAGCTGAGACCCATGTCTAAATAAAAATCAATGGAAAGAAAGTGCACAGATGTTCCTAGATGCTTTTTTTCAAAGTTCACTGTTATACAAACTATTTTGTAGAGCAGAAAGGGCCACGATTTCAGCAGCATAAGGTGTTTCAACACAGTAATGACTCAGGATGCACATGCACACTGTTACATATTTCAATGTTTCAAGAAAATATGTAACCATGTATGATTATTTACAGTTTTGTGTTCCTTTTTGTTGGATTAGCTCATACAATCTATGTAAAATGCGTGACATTTGTAAATGTATAGTTGTAAAACAGGAAAGTTTATGGGACATTACTGCTTTTGTGACTAATATTAACACTTTAGATTTAGACAGATTTTATAATCATTTTGTACACACAGAGTGTATACAAAAAGACATTTCGTTAAGTACAGCTCTCAATAAATTTTTTTTAAAGTGCAGCAGTAATAATGTAAACATACGACTGTATATTAGTTACAGTTCCAATGTTCAGGGTTTTTTTTTTTTATCCAATTTTACACAATATTCAGCAGTCTAATGGCAGTGGGGAAAAAACTGTTCTGGAAGTTGCTGGACCTGCATCGAATGCTTCGAAGTCTCTTTCCACAGGACAGCAGGGAGAACAGTCAAAAAATATATTTCTGTAAGACAGAGGTGACTTTATTGTAATACCCTGTCCCTTTAAAAGCTGAAAATTACATATTTTCTTGGTCAAAGGATCGCTCTTATTCTTACTTCCAGACTAGGCTTTTCAGAAAACAGTCCTAAAGACTTATTCCCTGCTTTATCTTTATACTTCTACAAAACAGCTGCACATCCTCCACTGGATGGAGACCAACACATTGCCCAGGATGCCTTTTTGTATCATTTTTCACCTCAGTGAAATCTGACCTCCTCCTTTTTTACCTTTAGGGGTCACATAATATTTTCTGCACGGCTAACATGGGAACACAAAAGCGGGTCATCTGCATCACTCTCGGCACGTTATGGGATTTAGAACAATGCACGTCTGCTCAAGTGAAGCTTATAACATTTTGTTTTTCCAAAAGTACGATGCTGGTTTGCTTTATGATGGTGGGCTCCACCCAGCCCCTGGAGGGAAGGTGAAGCTTGATCCTGGTGTCTCAGTAGCTCTGTTTTGGCGAAAGACAACCAAGCAGCTGAGAGGATTGCAAGAGGGATTCCTTTGCAGGGAATACCTTTCATAATGAGTGTCTAAATAGAGCTCATTGTTTCGCAGAAGAATAAAAGAGAAAAAAAAGAGGAGTGATGCATTTCTTTCTAAAAACACACCCAATACACTGAACAAGTAGCTCACATAGTTAATTTTTAACTCCATCCATAAGGTGTTGCTGCAAAGATAAGAAGATTTACTACTCTTTATGGCCAAACTTCTTTTCTGCCAAACAAAATTTGAAATCAATAAAGGGAGAATAATAAAATAATTCACAGAGGGTTTGATAAAGTTGCTTCTAAGCAAATTTACTGGTTTTATGTTTTCAGAAATGCCACTGGCCTTACTCTGCTCTATGATGCACACCTTTGTGTGAAATGCAATCGTGACACTCTAGAGGTTATGATTAAGGCAGGCAGCTCAGGAGGTGCCTCCCTCGTTTTGATCAGAGGCCTCGACACACCTATGGGCGGAAGGACCAGAAAAACCAGCTGCTGAGATGGTTCCTCTCACGGCGTGGAGCAGTCGGTGCAGAACAAACGTGGAGTCTCCTCCTCCTCTACCCCTTCACTCTCCTCCCTCCTTTAATACTGACTGAAACTATACACCAGCACACACCTCTCCTTGTTTTTAAGCCTCACAGTCTACTCTTTAGGTCTCCAAGTCTTATTACAGCAGGATTTGTTTTACTTTCTTCTCAGCGGCTACTGTATTACCTTTGATCATATCTTCTAGGATCTGCCAGGCCCCCACAGGTGGACTATGCCTCCTTCAGAAACCTGACAGAGGGGGCTTCTATGCTGCTCAGTGCCCATCTGGAAAGGGCTTGAGCTGAAACCTCAGAAGAGTCTATTGGGTAGGTAATGGAGCTGTTTCTAAATGTTTACATCATTGTGATTTTGTAAACTTGCTGTATGCAGATATTTATGTGTGTTATAACTATACCTGTGGGAGAAAAATAGTTCAGATTGGTGATAAGATAGCTAACATCAAAACAACTTTCTAATTCAGTTAGGACTTTAGAAAGGTAAATTAGGGAAGGAGATATTTTGGTCCTCATCTCTGTCAGGAAACACATCTCTTACTGATGTTTCCTATCGGTAACATTTATCATGTCATCAGCTGTCAGTAACACTGTAGGAAAATGGGGTGCGATCCTGCAGGACATATTCAAAACTCCTGAGAGATTCTGGACCAGCTAACAGAGAATTACTGTGAAAAGTTTTTACATTTTAACTTATCTCTACCGCTGTTGCTGTATTTGATATTCTTTTAGGTTTTAGATCATGAAACATATTGCAAGATCTGATCTGAGGAGAATAAAATTCCCTTTTTAGATGAGGATTTAGTTTTTAAAGAGAAAAAAATCTCAAAGCACATGGAGCTGGATGAAAAGTCAATATATGGTTGTACCTGACATCAAGTGTTTGGAGTGATTTTCACTATCAAGCAATTGTCCCATTCCTTAATGCTGAACTGCTTTAATTTGCCTCGCAGAAGGGCTTTAAAGCACAAACTATTTATTAAAGGTCATGCCTTAATTGGACGTAAGTCTGAACTTTGACTAGGCCACCTCAAATCCCCTTTTTGCTCCTCTTAGCCACTCAGAGATGAACTTGGTCCAGCGTTTAGGATCATTCTGCTGTAGGCAATGTACCTGATCTCAATGTTGCAACATGATGAGCGTACCTTCTTCTTTAGGATTCTCTTCTAGAGAGCAGAATTCAAAGTTGTATCAATTACTGAAAATGGTTCAAGGCTTCAGTCAGGAAGGCAGCCCCAAACACTCATTTTTATATTATTTATAAAATATTATATTTGACTGTCAGGATGGTGATTTTCACTCTGATATTCCCATTAGTCCTACACTAGATTTTGTGAGACACTACAATACTTTCCTCAATGGACTTTGGAATGATTTTTGGGGTGCAGCTCTGTGATCTATGGTTCTGGATTGCATCTCTCAGATGAAGACAAAAGTCCATAAATGTCTTTCCGAACCTCTCCAGAACTATAAATGTCAATACTTTGTTTTATTTATCTGCTGCTTCGCTTTAAGATTGCTTTGCCTACCTGGCACAGTTTGTAGCACTGTTGCCTTGCAGCAAGAAGGTTCCAGGTTCGACCCTCCCCGGGGTCTTTCTGCATGAAGTTTGCATGTTCTCTCTGTGCATGCATGGGTTCTCCCTGGGTACTCTGGCTTCCTCCCACAGTCTAAAAACATAACTGTTAGGTTAACTGCCATCTCTAAAATCAATGATAAATATGTGTGAGTGCATGGTTGTGTGTCTTTATGTGACAGACTGGTGACCTGTCCAGGGTGTACCCCACCTCTCTGGGGTACACCAGAGATTGCCGGAGTAGACTGCCGGAGATAGGCGTCAGCCCCACCGCGAGCTTGGGGGAATAAGCGGGAAAAAATAGATGAATGGATGTTGTCAGATCAGTTCTATTTAAATTACTTGTAGTCTAGCATGTCTATGATTTGAGAGGAAATTGTGGTTTAATACAAACAAATCAAGTTATTTTAATATTTAAAATCATATAAAAGCCTATTCTTGTCCAAACAGAAGTACATTTTACCTAATTATTGAAAATTTTAAGCCATATTAGATTTTTTTTTTTTTTTTTTTTTTTTACTTTTGTAATCTGTAGTCTATGCATAAAAGACAGTTTGATTTTATTCTAGCATAGAGTTTCATTTTTAATCATGGTACTATAAACACAGGTCTCAGTTGTGTGTAGTTTCCTATTTTATCACACACGACTCAGATAAGCACTGAGTTTAATTTGCTTATGAATTTAATCAAAGCATTTGGAGGATAATTTTTAACAGACCTCCAGCTCTGATGGCTGACTTGTGCATAGATCTGTTAATCCCAAAGTCCCAAACAAAGATCCTGGTTAGATGACCAGTAGTCATTTCTAACATTTTGTCCGTTAATCTCTTTAAACTGTTCTTCTATTCCTTTTTCCTTTCCTTTTTTTTTTTTTTTTACACCCATCAGGCTGTTTTAGACGCTCTCGGTGTAACGTTTTAAAAAGCCTGATAGGTGTAAAATCAAAACCATGCTTTAGAAGGAATCACTGGAATAACATCTTGTTTACCCGACGGCTCTCAAGTGCTTTTTCTTGGCTTTAGTCATCTATTGCTCTTTTCATAACAGCGCCATATGCTGGGAGGTGGGAAGCTGTCAAAGAAAAGGTTCATATTAAGCTCAGTATAGATTCATCTTCCTGCATTTTCTTTGCAGTGGATTTCATTTTTTATGTGAGATACATGGAGTTTAACAAGTATTCCAGGAACGAAGCATTGTTGCTTCAAAGTTCTGCATCAAAAACAACAACCGACTTAGACAAAACAGTACTCTTATGTTTGTCACCTTAAAGTTTGAGAGCGTATATCTAAGCTTTAACTATGAATGTGGTTATTTGTATCAGTTCTTCAGACACCTATGCGTGACAGCATGTTGCTTTTCACTTACATCATCCTGTTGATCCCTTGATGACTGATTTGGATCAATAACTGTCAAATTTAAATCTCTTCTCAGCTGGAAAACAAATGAAGTGGAAGGTCCACTTCTTTAGACTCAAATTTCATATCTGCTCTCCCAAGGCTGCTAATTAACCTTCTCAAATATTGACACCGGGCAAAATCTGGTAAAGGTCACACTTTGATTGTGTTTACGTACGCCGGGGACTGCTGTATTTACAGTTCAGTAGGGAGCAAAGCCAAACTGCGCTTCAGCTTCACCTGTTCTTCCTCCAGTACAAAGAAAAGAGGAAACTGAAGAGTTCCTGTTCAGCATTGAACCTTCAGTCTGGAAAAAAAAGGGCACATGATTTGTTTACCCATGGTGGATAAGAGGATATTGAATTGTAGCATTTGGGAATAGCTGCAGGTTGCGGAAAGAGAAATAGACAGTAATAAATTGGAAATCAATTAACTCAATTTTGCAGCAGAACCTGCATGACCTGATCAGTTACAAATAATAAAGAAATGTAAATAAATATAAAAATTATATATTTGGGATCTAATATATAAAGCTCTGGTTATGATAGTGATAAACCTCATGAACTCACAACGCCTATTAAGCAACCCTTTAACCAGCATTTCTCAAACTACGTAGGGTGTAGTAACTGGTCAGTGATGAGCGAACATAGTTGAGTTATTATGGAGCAACAGTGTGATAGGGAGTGGCATTGAAGTTAGTTACATGTGATTTTGTTTAACGGGTGAAAAGGAGGTGCTTCTCCTTCCAAGGAATCTGCTATATTTATGAAATGTTTTGTATATGAAGCTGAAATACCAGAGTGAATGCATTTTGTCATGCAGCTTGTTATTACAAGAGTTTTTCCTTTTACATTTTATTAAGTTATGTTATCAACAGTAACATTACCAGATTAGAAATAGAGTCCATCAGCTGGTATGTTAATCTCAGCATAAATCCATCTGTTTTTCAAAGGCCTCTGAGGTTCGTTAAAGTACATTATTGAACAACATGCAGATTAAGGAACACAGCAGTACGCCCAGAGAGACCGTTTTGGAGAAGTCTAAAGTGGAGATTGCTTATGAAGCAATTCCATTTGAAGTTCTGACAGCAATCAATTCAATCCATCACTTGAAAATAGAAAAATAATGACTTAACTGCTAACCTAGCAAGACATGGCTTTAAGAGCATTAACCAGAGAAGCAGTCAGGCAGCCTCTGGAAGAGCCTTCAGCACAACTTGGAGAAATCATACGTGGAAGGAACTCCAGATGATACAGAGGCATGCCTCCACAAACATCCTGATCAAACACTGCCTGATAAACCAACCACAGCTGGTGAGACTGCAGCAGGTCCAAAGTACTACAGGACACACTCATCATTAATTCCCAGAAATATTCAGAATACACTGAAATACTCAGATCACTCCCCCAGACGTTGAGTACAGAGAGCTCGTGGTCTACATTGTGGCATAGCGTAGGAAGAATCCTTTTATCTTGAATACTAGCAAGACAAAGGAGATGACTGTAACAAACACCATAATCTTCATGGGAGAAGAAGAAGTGGAGGTGGTGGAGGAGTCAAAAATCCTGGATGTCCATCTAGATAAGAGGCTGGACTGGAGACACCCAGTAGGGATGCATACAATCAGCATTTTAGCTGTCAGTGTTTGTAGCGAGACGCTGTTGATCCTCTAGGATTTTGTCGTCGGTGGGGAGGGCATTTTCCACTGTCGTCCGATAAGGTAACACCTTAAGGTGATTGTGCAAAGATGGAATACTTTTTAAAATTTAAGGACCACAGATTTGTTCGAATTAAGCAAGATGTCTTTTTACATGGAGCTCTTATCATTAAAGCCGGCTTTGACATAATTACGAAGCATGTGCTTTAAGTTAATTGGTGGTTATATACAAAAGTCATGGAGTGATGTAAGAGAGAAGGAAATACTTTAACTACTCTTGACAAGAGGATCAGAGCAAAACCAATAAAGATAACATGGAAACTAAAAGTTTGGCTTCTCTGAAAGATCCATTTGTGTTGGCTCAGCTCCCAGACTCATCATCTTCAGTGTGCCTGAGAGCCTTGTTAATAGTTTGTATTTCCAATCTTGCATTTTTAATCAAGAACTTACTTTTGGGCCTCTTTTATTACAAAATGTATTACTACTTTTTTTCCATTTTAACTAAGCCTTTAAGTAAATAAACAGAAATGGTTAATTTACTTTTCTCAAATTCTGAGCTCTCTGCAGTCTGAAATATCATAGCAATCCAGCCAGATGCTTACTTTGTGTGCCAGCCTTCTGAGCTCTAATCACTAACTCTGGAGACCCAGGGTCCTTGTTTCACATAAATGGTATGAGCCATCCG